AACAGTCAGCTGGTGGTTAGCATCCCTTTCCACCATACCACCAGGCTCCTGAGGAATTAGTCTTCCCAGATACTTTCAAATAGGTGCTTAGATTATCCACATCACATAGGTGGGAAGAGCTGATTTTAAGAACTGGGGAAGCTCCTTGCCCCAAAGAATATGCGATTAGACTCTAATTTGGGGGGTGCCTCCCCCCCATGACAGGAGTCCTGTACCTAAGAAAACTCAAACTTTTTCACATCCACTCATAGCTACCCTCTAGGACAGAGTAGAACTGCCCTAGTGGGTTTCTGAGACTGGAACCCGTAGGAGTAGAAAGCCTCGTCTTTCTTCTGAGAGGCAGCTGGTGGTTTCCAACTGCTAACCTTCCTGTTAGCTCTGTAGCCCACTAAGCCATCAGGGCACTTTCCTGTACCCAAAACCAGACCCAAACTCGCCGTCATCCAGTTGATGCTGACTCATAGTGACCCTGTAGGACAGTGTAGAACGGCCCCTGTGGGTTTCCAAGACTGTCTTTATAGGAGTAGAAAGGCTCATCTTTTTCCTGAGGAGTTGCCTGGTGGTTTCAAACTGATGACCTCGAGGTTAGCCGCTAGATGAGTAACCACTACGCCCACCAGGGCTCCTCCTATAAAAAGGAGCTTGTAAGTAGCATTAAATCTACTGCTGTGGACTCGATTCTGATTCCTAGTGACCCTGTAGGACAGACTAAAACTGCTCCGTCAGGTTTCCAGAATGACATCTTCTTGTCTTTCTCTGTAGGAGCGGCTGGTAGATTTGAATTATTGACCTTGCAGCTAGCAGCCCAACACTTAACCGACAGCACTACCAGGACCCCTTAGGTAGGTAGCCCCAAAACAAAACCCACTGTTACCTAGTTTGTTGTGAACGCCTAGTAACCCTGCAGGACTGAGTAGAATTCCTTAGAGCTTCTGAGAGTGAATCTTGGAGCAGACAGCTTCACCGCACCACCAAACAAACAAGCAAACTCGCTGCCATACCGGTGATTCTGACTCATGGTGACCCAGGACAGACCAGAGCTGCCCTGTGGCTTCCTGAGACTGAAGCTTTACTAGGGCAGAGCGGCTGGTGGTTTCAAACCACTCACTTGGCGGTTAGCAGCCCAGCACATAACCCACCATGCCACCCGGGCCCCTCCTTATCCTGCTAGGAAAGGATACTTGCAAATAAGCAGACATTCCCTGACTGACATGCACATGGTACTTTTAGCCAGGGTGGAGGATTCTCCTAGGTATACACACAGACACCCTAGTGCTGGGACAAGAAAACAAGTTCGCACAGGCAGCTCTGCAAATAACGTGTAAACAGATGCTTAACTCCACAGTGCCGGTGGGGGCTTCTCCCACTCAGGACTGTAAACAGTCATTAGGTGCCAAATGAGTCACATCATAAGCTTCTGTAAATAATCCCTTATTCCACTCTGTCTAGGAAGGCCGGGTCTTGACCCCAGTCTGGCTGGGTAAAAGGGCAGGTCAGAGAGAGAGGAGCGAGGCAAGTCCCCTCGTGGGAAATTGGATTACCCTCGGGTCCTGTCAGCAGACACGAAGCCCACAGGAACCTGTGGATGTGCAGATTGGGTGGTAGGAGCTCGGTAGACTGATGGGTTAGGTGTGGGGCTACTAAGCTCAAGGTTGGTGGTTGAAGCCCACCACCTACTCTTCAGGAGAAAGATGAGGCTGTCTACTTCGGTAGCGATTCGTGGTCCCCGAAGCCCGAGGGAGCAGTTCCACTCTGTCCTGTAGAATCAGCTTGATGGCCGTAGAGTTTTTGTTTCGAGACCCAAGCAGGGGTCGGCACACTTGGTCTGTGAAGGGCCGGGGCAGAGCTGTTTGGGGCTCGACCGGCCGTGCATGCTGTATACTGCTGCTTGTCACTGCTCGGCCCTGGACCAGGAAGGCAGCCATCGACAGCTGGTACTGGGATGAAAACTTTTCTTTTCAAAAGCAGGAGGCAGGCCAGATTGGCCCTCTCAGTTGGTAATGTGCCAACTCTGGCCACCTGCACCAGCAGATGACCCCGTAACCCTAATGCCATCGAGTTGATTCGGGCTTACAGCGAGGACATTGACGTGCCACCTCTTTCTCCCAAGGGTTCAAACTGTCAACCTTCTGCTTAGCAGCTCAGTGCTGAACCGTGGTGCTGAGCCCCACAAACTTGCTGCCATCAAGTCGACTTTTAACTCCTGGTGACCCCATAGAGCAGCAGTTCTCAGCCTGTGAGTCGCCACCCCTTTGGGGGTCGAACGACCCTTTCACAGGGGTCGCCTAATACATCTTGCCTCTCAGATGTTTACATGACGATTCATCACAGTAGCAAAATGGCAGTGATGAAGTAGCAACGGGAATCATTGTATGGTTGGGGTCCCCACCACATAAGGAACTGTGTGAAAGGGCCACGGCGTGAGGAAGGGGGAGAACCACTGCCACAGGGTTTCTTCATAGGCTGGGAGCAGACAGGTTCGATTTCCTCCCATGGAGTGAGTGGCTGGTGGGTTTGAACCACTGACCTTGTAGTTAGCAGTCCAACCCTCACCCAACAGTGTCACCTGGGTTTCTCCAGGACCTCACAGAGTTCTGGGAAAAGGAAGTTATTACTGGAGCCCCCCCCCCCCCCCCCCAATCTCTATACCTAGGAATACATGGTAGGGAGTGGGTGGTCTAGGTAGCTCTATATCTCATGATATATTTCAACTCACAGTGACCCCTTAGGACAGAGTAGAACTGCCCTGTGAGTTTCCAAGACTGGAACTCTTTACAGTAGAAAGCCTCATCTATCTCCTGAGGGATTCACACTGCCGGCGTATACTCCACTAGGGTCCCAGGGCTCCCTTATTTCATTCAGCACATCCCATTTGAACACCGCTGCGCTCTGGAAGTCAGTGAAATCCCGAGCGAGGGGTAAGCAGACCCTCAGGAATGGGGAGGAAACAGGCTGGTAGACGAGCATTTGTCCAGCGACGAGCTAAATAGCAGGGGGCTTCCAAATAGTTTCTGAAAGATCTCCCTTCTCTTTCATTCCCTTTCCCCCCGAACTTTCCGAAGACCTCTGGTGTAGAGCCTTCCTCCCCCGCCCTCACTTGACAGTAGTAGATAATCGAGAGTGGTGGGCAAGTGAAGAGGCCGGTGTGACTGACTGGTAAGGAGAGATTCACTGCAATTTGAGAAAGCGAGTGCTTCACCTGTACCCGAACCCTCCTCTGTGGGTTGTACTTATATGGGGGCACAGCGAGTAATAGGAATCGTTTGGGCTGCGAGTAAGAGAGAAAGTGGACAGTAGGAATACTGTGGGCTACACATGAAAGACAGAAAGGTGTTTGGCTTTTCACTGCCCCCACCGCTGGGACCCCCTAGGCTGGCGCATTAATTTCTCCTACCCATCTTCCAGTGACAGAGCCCTGGCGGTGTAGTGGTTAAGCGCTGGACTGGGACTAACATGGCTGGCAGTTCAAAATCACTGCAGAAGAAAGACTGGGATTTCAGCTGCCGTAAACAGTCACCGTCTCCGCAGCCGTAGCCTTGAGTCAGCATTGACTTCATGGCAGTCCCTTCCAGTAACGGCTTCCCAGGCCAAGACGGTCGCTCAAGCTCCGTCCGCCACACTCCCACCCTGACCAGCCAGGAGGCAGCGGCAGAACCTTCCAGTGTGTGAGGCAGTTCCCCTAAGCCATGGCACACCTTGGGCCAGAAGGGACGTAGGCCCGGGACCTGACGGGGCAGGAAAGTGAGTTCTGCAGAGCCACGCACCCAGCTAAGAACCCCTTCTCCTGTGGGAGAAGTGAGGCGTGGTGTGGGTGGCCCTCCCCATGCCCGTGGAGAGGCAGACCCCTGGCTTCATCCTGAAACCCTGCATTCTCTCGTAGGCGGCCATGTCTGAGTCAGGCCACAGTCAGCCGGGGCTCTACGGGATCGAGCGGAGGCGACGATGGAAGGATCCTAGCCCTGGCGGGCCCCAGAACCTCTCTGGACCTGGTGGTCGGGAAAGGGACTACCTTGCGCCTTGGGAGAGGGAGAGACGGGTGAGTGAGCGGGCCCACGGGCAGCCTTGCATTCCACAGATGTTTGGAAAGCACTCGTCCTGAGCACTCATCTAGGTGCTGAGGCCAGGGCTGGGAAGCACTCCCACCGCCCTCCTGCTGGAGAGTGAGTGGTGCAAAGGGGGGCGTTGGATTTATTTTTAACTTTTTCTTAGAAATTGGGTGAAGGTTTACAGAGCAGACTGGCAGCGTTTGCATTCAACCGTTCGTCCACATCCTGTTTCAACTCGTTGGTTGAGATCCCCTCAAAGTACCTTCACTTACCCCACTTCCTCCTGTGTTCTCTGTTTCCGTTCCTCCTCCTCTCTGAACTCTTTAACTTTAGTCTTGGGTACCTGCTGCCATTCGGGTCTTAAATGCTTGCCGATTCTAACAAAGGCTGTGTTCAGTTGCTGCCGGGAAGGATGACTAAAGGTCATCATGTGTGTCGGGGGAGGGTCTCAGGGGTCCCACCAGTCTCTCTGACTAGTACGCCCAGTCTCTGGAGATTTTGAGTTCTGTTTCACATTTTTCTCCCACTCTGTCCAGGACCTTGTAACGTGACCCTTATCAGAGCAGTTGGTAGTGGTGCTGGGCACTATCTAGTTCTTCTGGTCTCAGTCACGGAGACTGATAGTCCTCTGGTCTCATAGTTCACTGGACTGAGTGAACCCCGTCACTCTTGTTTTCCCCTGGGCTGGAGGAGACCAGTAGTTGTACCTAAGATGGCTTCTCCAGAGCATTTAAGACCTCAGTCGCTGCTCACTTGTCAGAGTAACCAGCCTCTAACAACCGCAGGATCCAGGCGCAATTGGACAGCGATAATACATGAAGGTTATAGTAAAGTCATGGACGATAGGAGAGAGAGAGAAATAAAGGAGTCAGACACATTCTATGGTAGCATGCTCACCTGAGCCCCTCTTGATGGTCCACGTGGAACTGGGAGAAGAGAGTGTCTTTACTAACTTGGGATATTTATAGGTAGCTGTAAGACATGCATATTCAGTAGTTACATAGGTCACAAGGTGGGTGGTAACCACAGTAAGGTCCCTGAGCTCACCTAATACCTGCACTGGGGGAAGGTAGGAGGGAGGCTGGGTGACACAGCGGGAGGAGATAGCAGCAGGATGTCTGCTTCTGTAGGGAGACAGAATCCACCACGTGCTCACTTGAAGGCAGCATCGCTGTTAAGGAGCATCTGTGGGAACGGTATTTAAAGCAGGATCATGGACTTGGACTTTATCTCTAACTAACCAAAGTGGGGGCTTTCCTGTCGTGGGAGACCAGCATTCCAGATTCCCTGTTACAAGTTAGGGAATAAGTCCTAGTCATAGTTCCCTCCGTGTAAGTTTGCCACACTCCCTGAAGCAGGACGTAGACTTGGGTGACTGTCTCATGCAAGTTGACCTTGGTGCCAAGGGGACTATTCTGATATGCAGTGGTCAGGGAACACTTTCACAAACAGGTGACTTTTGAAGTGAGACTATGGCAGGGCCTGAACAGAGTGCACTATGCCAAAATCTGAGGGAGAAGCATTCTAGGCAGAACAGGGGCAGGCAGTGTGCTTCTAGCATGTTCCAGGAGCAGCCAGGCTACCAGCGTTGCTGCAGTGGGTGGAAGAGGGAGAGGGGAAGAGGCCAGAGAGACCACGGGACCAGATCCATGTTGGTGCTCTTGTAGGCCTGGCTGGAGAACTCTGGATCGCACTCTGGATGAACGTGGCCTTGGTGCCAGAGCTCCCGTGCAGGAGCTGTGCGGACCAGAAGCAGCCGTCTTTGTGCATGGCGAGTGCTGCTGCTGCCGGCCCTGTGCCAAGGGCCCAGTTGCTCCGGCATTCGCAGAGGAGAGCGGTGAGGGAAGCGGGCCTCAAAGGTGGAGCACTGGGCAGAAGTCACAAGTCCGTGGACTCAGGAACCCAGTCTGGCCTGCCGTACAGGGGGCGGTGGGGGGGCTGGGTCTTGGAAGAGGGAGGCTTTGGTGTTCTGAGCGGGCCTCGCCTCGCCGAGCTGCTTCACGTGCCCTTCCCGTTGGACCTGCTTTCTGAGCCTTCAAAAAAGGCACGGTGAAGAGTGAGCTCTCCATCCAGCACAGTGAGAACACCCTGCCTCCCCTGCAGGCACCCACACGCGCACCGCCTCCTGGGGTCTCCCTACTGGCAACTCCCTAACCTTGGGCTGTGCTTTGGCCTCTGCTGCTGAGCCTCCCCACTTGCCCGTGGCTTCTCACATCCTCCGTGTCCCCTGCTGGCCACAGCATCGCCCCCTCCTCCCCTCCTCCCTCCATCAGTGGGGGCCATGGCATCTGGATGGGATGCTCTCGCTCACCACGCACACTTTCCCTGCTTGCCCCCAGCCAGGCTGCTGCATGTACATTCTCCTCCTGACATGGCTGTGTCTTCTCTCCCCGCTCACTATCTCCATCCAGGGGCCTCCCCTCCTAACTCCTCAGGCCTTCCCATGCTCCCCCCGCCCCCCAGCTTTCCTGCATTCCAAAGCGGTTTGCAAATTGTCCTCTTGTTTCCTCTTCACCTTCCACCAGTAGAGTCAGTAGTGTTTAAATAATCCACCCACAGGCAAGGAATCCACTGGTATGGGAACTGAGAGCCTCATGGTTCTCTCTCAAGGTGGCTGGTGAATTTGAACTACCGACCTTGCCACTCATTGCTTACCAGACAGCACTACACCAGGGTTCCTACGGTCTCAATAGATGACTTCATTATATAGCTGAAAGGACAAGGGCCCAGTAAGGGAGAGGGTAAGGCTCTCCTGAGGTTACTCAAGACATTGGCGAAGGACCAGGCCCCAAATTCAGTCTCCCACCTTGTGAGCCGATTGGAGGTGGGGTAGAGGTGGGGAAAGTGGGAAGGGGGCTGAGGGGCACCATGTGTTTCCAGCAGCTCTCAGTGAGCACCTGCCTGCCCCCCCCACCCCCCTTGTTCTCAAACTAACCCCACTTGCTAGAAGGAATGTGGTCCCTCGCTCCTGCTGTCTGGGTGTGCCTTGATGGAGAGGTTGAAAGCGTGGTTCTGGAGCCCGACGGCCTGGGTTCAAATCCTGTCTCCACCGCTGAGCCCAGTTTCCCTCAAACAGACACACGTTTCACACATCACAGGATTCCCTGTGTGTTCTGTCTCCTGCGGGGCTGCGTGCATGGCATGTGCACACACCCCTTACTTGCATGGGCACATCCAATGCTTAAGAGACCATGTTGGCATCCACCTGACCGCACAGTGCCTCAATCTCCTCACCTGGAAAATGGGGATGATGGGACCTACCAGCATGGTGACGGCGGATCCCTGGTGGCGCAGTGGTTGCCAGCCCCTCTCCCCCGGCTGCTCTGGGGAGGAAGACGTAGCCGCCATGGACTCGGTGGCAGTGACTCTGGTCTGGGTTTGGACAAGGTGGTCCGTGGTGGTGCCCCCGAGAGCCCTTTCTGAGCGCAGTCCCTCACCACAGGATGGCAGCGAGGAAACAGGGACGGCAGTCATGCAGAAAACCCCCATCATCCTCTCCAAGCCTCCAGCCGAGCGGGTGAGCCAGGGAGTGCCCTCTGAGGGGGGGAGGCTTAGGGCATGAACACCCCCCTCCCCCCTCACTGACTGGAACCCACTCACCTACACAGTCAAAGCA